GGGACGCTCACTAATGACAGGACGTTGGTCAACTGCAATGCTTCCCTCAGTTGGAAAACCAAAAAACCAAAACTGTAGAAGTGAAGCAGCAATTGGCAATCTTCAAATCTGCACCAAAACAAACACTAATGTCCACTTCTGTTTACACCCAGCAGTGCCATGAACCCCTTTCCACTCGAGTACCATGAATAAGCCACGGTTGGTCAATTGGAAATTAGCAGCCAGTTCCCTCTGTTCATTAGGCCTGCTGGACAAAACACTGATGTCACAAGACAGCGACAGTGTTTGGCAGCTCCTTGCCAAGCTTTGCTTGGAACAAAGAATAAGAAAAATGGGGTCAGATGGGGGCTACGGTAGGAGTAGGCAGGGGGCTAGGGCTGATATCGAGATATGAATTTTGAATTTTTCCATTTCATCTTCCTATCCTGTACTAATGACCAAGCTATAATTCTCTGATCATTAAATCATGCATCACAGAATGAAGCCACTCGGAGCACTGGGTCTTTGAAACAGCTTTCTAATTCCCTCTAGTCAACTATTTGCTTCTCCACAGACCTCCAAATTTTAATACACAGTCATAGTCATACAGCTTGGAAACAGACCTTCAGTCCAACTCGTCCATACAGACTAGCCATTCACATCTGACCTAGTCCCCTTTGCCAATATTTGGCCCATATCCTGCTAACGCTTCCTTTTCATGATCCCTTGCAATGCCTTTTAAATGCTGCAATTGTACGTGCCTCCACCACTTCCCCTGGCAGCTTGTTCCACACACGCACCACCCTCTGTGTGAAAAAGGGTTCGCCCTCAGATCCCTTTCAAATCTTTCCCCTCTCACCTTGAATCTACGCCCTTTAGTTTTGGACTCCCTACCCTGGCGAGAAATAACCTTTACTATTCACCCTATCCATGCCCCTCATGATTTTATAAAATCCTCCACAAGATCACACCTCAGCCTCCGACACTCCAGAGAAAACAGCCCCAGCCGATTCAGCTCCTCACTGTAGTTCAAACCCTCCAAACCCAGAAACATCCTTGTAAATCTTTTCTGCACCCTTTCAAGTTAAACAACATCTTTCCTAAAGCTGGGAGGCCAGAACTGCAAGCAGTATTAATTTATCCAGTTCCATTTAGACTGTCATCACTGAATCTGTTTCTTTCACCCTTTCAGGCAATGTATGTTGAATTCCAGATAAATATATCTCATGCGACAGTGTCACTTATGGCATAAGAGGAGGCTAAGTTCTAGGCCTCCTCCCTATAAAGCAATCCACTCCATTCCATTTCCCTGCTTGGGCTGCAGCCCTGCTAAAAACCAAGCATCTGTCCGACGCTCTTTAGAAATGGAACAAACACTGGTGAGCACCAACCTCCAGGTCATCATCACTCACTGCGCAAAATAAATTTCCACTCCTTTCCCGTCCCTGCACCTTGTGCATCAAATCTCAAATCTGCATTCTACAAAGACCTTGTAAAATCAGCTAATAGAAAAAGAGTTTGCAAAATCGTTACACTCAGAATGAGACCATTCAGCGCACTTGTCAACACCAGCTCTGCAAATGTGCCTCTCACTTAATGCCACTTTCTCACCTCTCTCCCTAACCTTGCACATTCTTCCTTTTCAGAAAACAGTCCAATTCTTTTAAACTGCTTTGACAGAATCTGCCTCCACCATGGGTTCAGTCACTGCATTCTAACTTTTAATCACTTGCAGGATGGAAAAGACTTCCCTCCTGTCACTTTTTTGTCCATTCTTTTAAATCTGTTTACTCTCATTTTTGATCCCTTTACAAGGGTAACAGTTTCTCTCTATTGAATTTATCCTGACCCCTCATGATTTTGAATCTCTCAAATCAATCTGCTCTCAGCTTTATATTCTCCAAAGGGGGAAAAAGAAAAATTTCAAGTTGGCCAATCTATCCTCAAAATTGAGGTTCCTCAGCCCTGGAAACGTCCCTGTAAAATAGTTCTTGTCTGCATTCTAACGCTTTCGCATTCTTCCTAAAGGTGTAATCCAGAACTGGACATTGATTTGGCCTCAGCTACAATATTATGTCTTACACAACTGGAGAGAGCAAACAGGACCCCCGAACTTCCTTTAGCTGGACATGTTAACATAGCATCCTGCTCACATGCCCAATTGTCCATCCTCAGTATGCTGCAATACTCCAGTGAATCACGGCGCAAACTGGAGGAACAACATCTCATCTTCAGACTAGGCACTTTGCAGCTTCTGGACTTAATATTGAGTTCAACACCTTCAGATTGTGAAAGGGTCTCGGCCCGAAACGTCAGCCTTTCTGCTCGGCCTGCTGTGTTCATCCAGCTCTGCACCTTGTTGTCTCCTACTTCTTCCCTTTCTTTAGCTTGTTATCATGTCCTTTCTCCCTTCTCCTTATCCGAGTGGGGACTGTCTGTCCTTTCAAGTCTGGCAGGAGACAAACCATTGTTCTGCCCTTCTCACATTCTGATCACTTAATCTGAACTATCAACACCTTTTCTCCATCAGTACTCTACAGCCACTACATCCCCACCACCGCCACGCCCAGCAAAAATGCTGTCCTCTCCACACTTGACTACTCCTCTTCAGAGCTGAAGTGTAGACTCAAAACATTAGCTCACTCTCCCCATGAATGTTGTCTGACCCACTGTGATCTCAGCATTTGTATTCAACATAACCTCTGTTTTTGCACTCCAAAACCCTATTAATAAATCCTAGATTTCTGAAGGGTCCTTACCCGAAACGTCAGCTCTCCTGCTCTTCTGATGCTGCCTGGCCTGCTGCGTTCCCCCAGCTCCACAGTGTTATCTAGGATACTGTATGTTTTTATAAACCAGTTTCTCATCTTGTCCTGCCAATTTCAAGAACTAATGAACTTCTACCCCATGTCGCTCTGCTCCCGCACCCCCTTTAAGAGTTGTATCCTTTATTTATATAATATTTTCCATGTTCTTCCTCTCCGGAAAGAAACCAACTGAACACATTACCTTAAACCTTTGTCAATTTTTCTTATAAGAAGAATTATTGACAAAATTGCCTCTGACGGTGATTTCTTGGGCAAATAATTCCATACAAGAACATTTCTTCTGTTATCCCATTTTAAACCATTGCAAGTTTAAGTTTATACTCTTGGTTACCAGTTATCCCGATGCATGTTTTCCTCGTCTACTTTATGTAAGATTGTCACAATCTTGTACAACCCAGCTTTCAACCTGACCTTGTAGCAAAAAGCAGCCTAATCCCTGGAACTATGCTGGTATACCTACTCTACGTCCTCTCAAGGAACTTCACAACTTCTCTGAAGCGCCGTGAAATGGATGCAATATTTCGGCTGGAGCCTAACCAGAGGCTAAGCATAACCAGAGAAAGTAAGAACTGCCGATGCTGGAGTCAGAGATAACACAGTGTGGAGCTGGAGGAAGGGTCCCGGCTCGAAACGTCAGCTTTCCTGCTCCTCTGATGCTGCCTGGCCTGCTGTGTTCCTTCAGCTCCACACTGTGTTAGCTAAGCATAACCACCCTGTTTTTGTACCAATGTCCCCCATTATGGAGCCTAAGATCCCAAAATTTTTGCAAAGCTCCATCGTGATATGTTCTGCCACCTTAAAACGATTCATGCAGTTACACCCCCAAGTGATTCCACATCTGCTTAGCCTCTAGAATTGGGCAATTAATTCAATATTGCTTCTCCCCATCCCTTCTGCCAAAATGCAACACCAAACACTTCTCTGTACTAAATTCTCTCTGTCCTGGTCCACCCTTTTGGCTAGCCCATGTCTTATTGCAGACAACTCATATCATTCTCACTGTTTGGCATTCTTCCCAATTCGCTATCTGGGCTGCCTTACCAAACACTTCAAGACCCATATAAACAACATCCATCTCACTCCCATCAAACTTCTGCTACTTCAACAAACATTCAATTTGATTAGCCAACAAGAATCTTCTTTTCATAAATCCACACTGCCTTTTATTAAATCAATTCAAACCTCTCCAATGACATGATTTTTTTTTGCCTGATTCAAGATTGCACAACTACCACCAAATTTAGTCCAACTGGCCTCTCGTTGTTAGGACTGTCCTCAATTCCCTGCTTGAAGAAGGAATATTAGTCATTCTCCAATTCTTTGGCACCTCCGCTTTGCTTGAAGAGATTTGTAAAAAATCATTACCTTCACCTCATATCCATTATTACCAACCTAGGATGCAAGCCATCCAGACCAGGTAAGTTATCTAGTTGAAGGCTAGCCAGATTTTCTACTATTCCCTCACTTTTAGTTTACACTATTGCTTCCACTACCTTGGTTTCTGCTGACACTTCACCAAATTAAGGTTCCTTGATGAACACTGAAACAAAGAACTCCTAAGTATTCTAGTCATTGCCTGCACCCCTAAGCAAGAATCACCCTCATTGTCCCTAATGGATCCACTCCCCAACGTACAACTGCTTGATTATCTGTAAACTGGTAGAAGATTGATGGGTTCCCTTCCACATAGACTGCCACTCTGATCTCAGTCTCTTGGTCAGTCTCATGATCCTATGGATATCCTCTTTCAAAACATTGTTTCTTTTAAACCTAGTTTTCATTTGAAGTACACACCTAACGTGCATCAAGGGCTGGGTTCATTTTTATAAAAAAAAAGTCTGATCTCTGGTTCCTTCAACTTAAATCCATGGCCACTCATTGCCTTCTCCTACTGGAAGCAGTCTTTCTCTTACGTATAAATAGATGGAGAGAATCCTGTCATTTGGAGATGTAATGATCACAGAGTTTGTATTCTGCCAGCTGCTCGTGATTAAAATTCATGAAAAACATAATAATTGGCTCAAACATTAATACCTCCGTGTCTTAGCATGGCAAAGTAAAAAGGAGCAATAATGTGCACTGCATGATCAATTAAGTTCTTAATGCTAGATATTTGCACGAAGAACACTCAATGAACTATAACAATGGAAAACCCCGATCTTTGGCCACTTCAGTATCCTGAACGTCACTTACCGATGAGCGGGAGTCTTGACAATCTTCCTGGTAATCTGGGTTCGCCTGGAAATATAAAGGGGGTGTAAGGTACTGCAGAAATGTATGTGACTTAATTTGCAATAAAACAAAGTGACATGAAATAAACACTCACATCTCCGACCTCAGCAGCCAAATAGTTTCCAGTGGCCAAGTGTTTGAACCTGAAGAGGCTGTTCCAGTGCCCAGCCCCTCCGCGACATGGGTCATGTTGAACTACCTGCAATGAAGACAGGAAGGACCTAATTCTTTTTCACTGCTTTTGTATGATTTCACTTTGTCTCTGCTTCCTTTGTAAGGGTCTATATGTTCCCAAATTCACTTGCTTGCCATTGGGTTTGTAATCCAAAGATCTTAGATCGACATTGCAACTGTCACTATGCTTCAGAAGTGCTTCCTTTGTCGTCAAGTATTTTGGGATGGCTTGATGGTACAAACTGAGTTTTATCACAAATTCTTTGTGAACCACTTGAAATTTTTAAAAATAATATTCACACTTCCAGAAATTCAAGAACCCAATGTCATGTCAAATACTACTGTAGCAACTTGGCAATGGATTCAGATAAGAGTTGGAACTTCATCATAAAGCCTCTGTGTTTATTCTCCTTTATCAGCTTATAGATTCTAAACAACAAGAGTAAAATATTCAACAATCCCACTACTATACAGATGTATAGAAGAAAGACTTACAGATTGAGATCATTAGGAGCAAGGGAGTTTCATTTTTGGTAAACCTTGCTTTTAACGTCATCTGTTTGTCTCATGTTCCTTTGGACATCCTCTTTCAAAACATGGCTTTTTTTAAACCTAAAACTTTCATTTGAAGGACAACTATCAGAAATTAAGTGTGACAAAAATGTTACTCGATGACATTTGGCAGCCCATCATAGGCCTTGTTGCATTCACTGCATCAGCATTATCCCGCTACGAAGGCGTGCCTACTCCAAGTCTTCTCCCAATCAGCAACTTCATACTATCCCAGTCGTAAATCCAAGATGGAACGGCACTTGGAAGAAAATAAAGAGACCTGGACACTGGATGGCATTCAACTCTGAAAACCGGTTATCCGTACTTACAGGTAGATTAAACTTCCAAACAAATGCATGACACAACATTCGTTGAATTCATGGAATCCCTACAGTGTGGAAGCAGGCCATTTGGCCCATCGAGTCCACACTGATCCTCCAAACAGCACCCCATCCCCATAACCTATGGCTAACCCACCTAACCTCCACATCCGCGGACGCTATGGGCAATTTAGCATGGCCAATCCATCCAACCTGCACATCATTGGACCGTGGGAGGAAACCGGAGGACAAGGAGGGAACTCACACAGTTACGGGTGAGAGAATGTCCAAACTCAACACAAACAGTTGCTTGAGGGTGGAATTGAGCACGGCTCCCTGTGAGGTAGGAGTGCGAACCACCGAGCTGCCCATTGACTTCAAGTAGCGCACCTGGAAAAGATGTTAATGGGGTAGGCCCAACTGAACTGCAATGACAGACAACAAGCAAAAAAGTGCTCCCCAGTCCTACAGCGCATTCACTTCAAACCTCGCTCAGTGGCCACAAACCGCTTTGGGGCAGCCTAAGGTTGAGAACGGTGACTGCATAAATCTCAGTTCTTACTTTATTTTGTTGGATCTCCATTTGTTTTTTTTCCCACATCAACACGCAAGCAGATTAAAAGAGCCCAAGAAATGCAAACCATGTAATCTAGATCCTTTATGAGCAATATACAGGTCAACAACTTGACTATCAGGATAAAGGGAGCTGGCTTTTGTAGTGTAAACCCATTTGGCTGATTCACAGTTGGCCAAATCTAACTGAAACAAGTACCAGCAGAAGGGAAACATTACATTTCAATCCCAAGAGGACCCAAATACATGCTTTTTAAAACTAGAGTGATTTCTAAGACCAAGTAGCTTACCTCAACCTCCCACAATGCTTTGGAGCTCGTTGCTGATGTAGCAGACTGTCGGCCAGTGGTTCGGAGAAAGACATACTGTTTTTTGCGATACTCATCGCAGGTCAGAAACTTCTCCTGTTCAGCATGAAATAATCTCACGACGTCACCCTTCAAGAGGCAGAAAAGAAATACTACCATTTATACCTTGCTGGTTAGCTCCATTCACTGTCACACAGAAGACAGGAATGAGCTACCTTTAACCTGACGTTGAAACTTTTTTTTAGGGACTCATCTGACAGCCAAGCCTGTAAGTACATGACATATTGCGATACGGAGTCTGTAGTAACAGGGAAACCTTATCAGGAAGCCAGCCATGGCTCAGTGAGTAGCATTCGGGTCCATGACTGTGAGGTCACGGGTTCTAGGCCTAATCCACAAACTAGAACACAATTTAGACAGACACTTCAGTCAAGTATTGAAGGAATTTTTGAGAAAAGCCATCTCAAATGTGTCAAATGAAGTTTGTTTTGACATAACAATTCCATGGCACTATTTTCACAAAAAAGCATGTGATTGCCCCTCAGAAAGCATCATTAATAAAAGCGATTATTGCATTGTGCCTGTCGGGCCTTGCTGTTTGCAAATTGACTGCTGTTTTCTTAGACCACGATAGTGACAACAGCTCATAAGTACTCCATTGGATGTAGAGAGATTTCGGAATGACCCGAAGTTGTGAAACATGCTGTTTGCAAGGTTACATTGGCAATATAAGTTGATATTAGAACCTAAGGAAAGGGAGGAAGTAGATTATTTTTTTCCCCCCTTTAAGAAACTACTACTGGAAGAAAGCCTACTGCTGAGGAACAGTCAGACTTGGTTGTGATTGCATTGCGCTAAAAACAATTGGCTAACTCATGTCATTAGAGGCAACACTTAAAATGAATCCGCTTGAGCAACCTTCTGAACAGCTGCTTGTTTGGTTCTTCAGGTACAAGTTCCCCTTCAGGAAAGGAGTTGGTGGCGGGGGGGTGGGCAGAGATTTGACCTCAATCCAGCCAATCTTCCAACTACTTGAAAATGGATGACATCAATGCTTTTGATCAAATTTCAAGCACCGTACATTAAAAACATTGAAAAAATCAGTTCTCACCCCTTTCAAAATATCTTCCTTATTATCACTCCATTTCATGAAAAGAACAATTTTCCAACTCGTGTTGCAATTCACAGAGTTAACCTGAAATGAGCAGCACATAACTTCTTGAGTAAAAACAGAATTAAATATTTTAATAATCGTTAGACAAAACACAGTACATTTGATGAGTAACTTCAAAATACTACTGTAAAACAACAAAATTATTAGACAACATACTACTGGCCAACATGCAAGTCATTGCTTGCCCTATATCACTTTGTCCATCATGAGCACTCTAGTGTTGGAGAAATCAATGTGTAATAAGAGTCCTGGGATCAGAGATTATATCAATGTTTCCCCAGTAACCTTGTGAGGTACCCTTCTATTTCTCTGTGGCAACTTTACCATGGTCAGGACAAAAATGACCTTATTGAATGGCAGAGCAAGTTTGATGGGCTGAATGGCCTACTCCTGCTCCGAACTCATATGGTTGTGTGATAAATCTCATTTTAGACCATGTAGTGTGGGCTATTAAAGGCATATGTGATTTTTTTTTGGGTATCCAGGGTATTCTCCTGGAGTCCTGCCAGGCCCATTGAAAGCCACAATAGAACAGCACAAAAAGGTTTCCAGCAAACCAGAGAATATACCAAGTAGATAACAACTGGCACTTAACAGCTTGTTTAAAGTAAGGTTGACTGATTCCTTACGGCATTGCCCTTGAGGATGACAAGTGGGTCATGAACTTCTTCCAATGCAAACTGAAATTTGGTTCTGTGGCATCAAATTACCGACATTCAACACAAAACTGAACAAGTATTAAAACTGTAGTGTAAACAAAACAGCGTGCTGTTAATCGCCACATATACTTGTTGACAGAATGTTAATAATGTTGTTAAGATACGGATAGGGAGGACATTAATTAAGTGCTTGGAGCACTTAGAATGAGACACTGCTGGGACACCAGGTAATATTTAGGAAGCAGAGTTACGTGATGTTGCATGCTGTGAATAAACTTGTCAACAAGAATTACTGGCTAGTTTCAACTGGCTCAGGACTGGAATAACACCACTCACCTCAGGTAATGATACTCTACCCTAAGCCACATGCATTGATTGGGAACATGAATCACATTTCCTGAACACAGGTGCAGCAGAGATCAGCTCACTTGCAATCATGAGTGCAGCTCATGATAGAATTTATTGTGAGCTACACTTGTTTTATGTATAAGTGCCCTGAAGTGTACCATTAGTATCTGCTTGACTCAGTTCAAAAAAATACTCAAGACGCAGAAGGTTGATGGTTCAAGCTGCACTCAGGACTTGAGCATGTCACCTTGGCTGACATTCCAGTGCGGTACTGATGGCATGGTACATCTGATAGTCCTTCCTTTAAAGCTCTATTGATTCGAGTGGGGATTAAACATACTTGACAACACAAAGGAGGACAGGGAATTCTTCAGTTATTCAAGAATACATTTTTCTCTCAAACAGCACCATTAAGAACATCAAGTGCTTGTTTCTCTCCTGACTGCTGGTTATATCTTGCAAGGCAAGGATATCTACCACATCTGGCAATGTAGCAGCCACCCCCCTTGAAAAAGCAATGCATTTTAAGTCAAGTACTTGGCAATGTTAATGTGACAAACTGTGACGCAAGTTAAACATTCTCTCCTTACCTCTTTACAACCAGGATTGTCGACCAGTTCACAATTACTGGCATGTAGGGGCTGGCCAGCATTGACTGGGTTCAACACCACTTTGTCTCCGATCACGACCTTAGAAGGAATAAAAAAAAAGGCCAAATTAGGCTGCGAATATGCATGCTTATGACATTATTCCAGAAGACAAAACTTATTAAATAATAGCAAGCTTAAATCAAGGTCTTCAGACACATGGCAAGGTCATCACATCAAAAGAGAGAACTGATTTATATCTTACTGAGTCAAGTTTGGCTTTTATTTCAGTTGCCAAGTTTCTTCTTTCCCTGCCAGTAAATGGTGACTCTTTGTTTGACTACAGTTCAAAAAAATAAACTTAGCTGTGCTCTCTGTCACTTTAAATCAAGTGGTTATTATCACAAGGTATTAGCATATTGACAGGCTATTGGACTCTGGGGACGTGGAAACTAAGCAAGAACATCTTTGCTGCTAAAGGCGCACACCCTCGCGACAAGCGTGACCGGCAATCAGGAGCAAGAACACATTTTAAAAACCAAGGTCGACTGTAGCGCATTTATCACGGCCCAGACAGAAATCAGACAGGGAATCAAGCTCAGGAATTTCCCGACTGAGTCATCCAAGATGGGAGTGGAAGCAAGCAGAAGTTGAGTTGACAGCCAGACTTAAATGCCGTTTCTTGGTGTCACATCAATCACAGCACAGGAGGCGGCTTTTTCACCAGTTGCTGGCTCTTGGAAAGAGCTGTGTGGCTTAGTCCTGTAGCCCTGCTTTTCGTCTGCAGCCTTGAATATATCTCATCTTCAACTTTAACTCCCTTTTAAAATCATTTATGGAATCAGCTTCTGCCATTTCAGATAAAGCGTTTCACATCTTGACAACCGAGGGAAAACAAAAACTTCTCATCTCCCTCCAGACCGTTGGTAATTACTTCAAATCCACAACCTTTAGTTGTTTAAAGCACTCCATTACATTATTCAGCCATGGTTTGCTTTTATCCAAGCTGGCTCTCCCGAATTAACCAATGCATTTTCAAAAGAAAGTCAGTTTTGTCTCTAAAAATAAGTTTGCAATAACCACTCCATTACCATTACCGCGTTGATTGTAGTTTCGAGGGCCAACCTTCTCCTCTTAAAAAATGGAATAACATTCAAAAAAATGACTTTGATAAAGGAAGAGAGGGTATTGCTGTCAAATTTCCCGAGGACACAAAGATAAGTGTGAAAGCAAGTTGAGAAGTTGACATAAAGAAGCTAAAAAAGATAAAGTGAATGTGCAATGATGCAGCAAATGGAATAGAAAAGTGGCAACTTGTGAAAGTTTATACTGGCATATTATCTAAATATGATGAGAGACTGCAGTGCCGTGGGATCTGGATATCCTCACGTAAGAATCACAAAGGTTAGTATGCAGGTACAGCATAATAGAATGAAGTTGCCAGGGGAATAGAAAGAAAAATAGGATGGC